CTGCTAACCCATTAGACCAGAAGAAATTGACATGTAACTGCTTAAGTTATTAAACTCCCCCTGCAGTCTCTCCCCCCCAGAAATTTAGGAAATATTAGTGGTTAAATAACATCCTAATGCAAACAAAGCAAACGAATAACCGAAAGAGACATGGAACCAGATGCTCATGTTATGTACATCAGGGATTCTTCATTGAAGTGGAACTACCCTGATTTACACCATCTGAGAATCTGGCCTATTAGGCAGAGAATTGCCCAGAAGTCTTTATTTTTAAGTGTAGCTCCCCATCTGTGTCCCAAAACATTTTAGATCAATACACAAGAGCAAGTTGGTTTACTATCCTATAGTCCGTTCAGTGGCTTACCAAAATATACATTTGGTTATTCATCTCTAAGCTTTGATGAGCCACAATTCCCAATAACTGGAAAAAATGTAAATACTAATGTTAAGAGTTACTCCCATTCTTTCTGACTTTCAACTTCTCCTGTCTTCATTTTAGTGTTTGTTCTTCCCACCTTGTAAGCGTCTACTATTTTTTATTTTCCTTATCCTTTTCCAGGAGCCTCTGCAAGGTCAGCAGACCGTTTCCTTCTGCAGTCCTTCCATGTATAAAGCAACTTCTGGGATTGATGCAGACAAAATCTGACCGATTAGTCAACTTTATTTTGCATAATGCTGCTATGGGAAATTGACTGGGATTGAATTATCCCCTAGTCAGTTTTACTCACAGCCAGTATTGCTTTGCTCAAGCACTACTTTGTTGCCCAATTGTTCACAGGCCAAGGTGCATCTGAATGAGTGGGACAAGTGGTGGGAAAGAATGGAGAAGCATTTACGTTTGTGATTGGCCACAAATGATTTTATGATGCCTCAAATTCTTCTACGGATAGTCAGAGGAGATCACTGTTTCAGCAACACTTTTGCACTTGATTTTTACATCATGACACACATTACAGCGGATAATGACTTCTATTGACATCAACGTATATTTATTTTGGGCAATTACTTTTAAATAGGTACAGTAAATAGGTTGTGACTTACCAACTATTGCATGTACACATAGCAAATTTGTTTAAAGTAACAAAGAACTTAAGAGCTTTTGCCTTTAAAAAAAAGCCCTGTGTTGGTGTGTTTGAGGGGTTTTTTTTAAGACCAGTTTAAGGGTTGCAGGCTTCCTAGAACAACCTTTGCTAACATTCTGACATCACCAGCCAAGCAGACAATTTCATACATAAGCTCTAGGAATTCTGAGACGCTGCCACCCTCCCAAGCTTCCTGTTTTGGGTGCAGACTTTTATTTTTCAAATTATTATAACATTTTAGTGCAAAGGGTAAATAATTATAGTGATTGATCTTTTCTATACTAGGGAGGATATCATCAGTTGGCTATTTCCACACACAAAAATCAAGGTGTTTATCATAGTTGTTAGACTTCAAACAAAAGTGTATTTTTTGTATTTGTTCAAAGGTGGTTAATTCTCTAGTGTCTGATCAAGCTGATCATCCTATTAATTCTACTATTATTTTTGGTCTCTATACTACCACCAGTAATCATGATCTAACAAAGGTGTATTATTGATGTAGCTAATACTACACACAAAAACTATATTAAAATAAGGTTGCAAAGTCAAGCACTCAAAAGTTAGGAAATGCCAGAATTAATTCAGCCCCTTTGTGCATATGCATTTTGATATTATCTTTAATTACCAGTCCAAATTCCCCATCCCCTCCAACCAACTTCTGGATCCTCATTTAAGCTTAGTCTAAATTGCCCTCTCTCACACCAGCTCCTTGTTCCAATTTCCTTACCTAGTCTGGTTCAGTCTACTCCCTGGCTGTTTGCCCAGAAAGTTCCCATCCATCCCAGCGCAACCACCCCTTACCCTACCTTAGTGGCCACCCTTCCCCAAACAGTCTGCTTGCCCAAACAGTGCCAGCCTCCCACTCACCACACCCCCAGGCTCCTTAACCCAACCTATACCTTCTCCCTAGGGTTGCCAACTGTCTAATCACACAAACCCAAACACCTTTGCCCCATCCCCTGCCCCTTCCCCAAGGCCACACCCATCCCACCCCTTCTCCAAGGCCTCACTCCAGTCCCCCTCTCTCCGTAGCGCTCTCTCCCCCCCACCCTCACTCACGTTCACCAGGATGAGGTAGGAGGTTGGGGTGCGGGCTATGGGCTGGAACGAAGGGCCAGGGGGTTTGGCGTGTGGGAGTGGGCTCTAGGCTGAGCCTGGGGCGGGCGTTTGGGGTGTGGAAGGGGGTGAGGGCTCCGGGCAGGCGGCGCTTACCTCGGGTGGCTCCTGGAAGCAGTAGCATGTCCGGCAGCGGCTCCAAGGCTCAGAGGCGGCCAGGTGGCTCTGCATACTGTCCCTGCCTGAAGGAACCGCCCCCGCAGCTCCTAGTGGCCGTGGCTCCCCGTTCCCGGCCAATGGGAGCTGCAGAGTCAGCGCTCGGGGTGGGGTCAGCACGCTGAGACCCCCTGGCCACACCTTTGCCTAGGAACCACAACATGCCAGCCACTTCCAGGAGTGGCGCGGAGCCAGGGCAGATAGGGAGCCTGCCTTAGCCCCACTGCACTGCGGGACTTTTAGCAGTCTAAAATCTCCCGGATTGGCTTCAGTACCCTCCGGGAGATCGAGCCCGATTCCAGGAGACTCCTGGCCAAACCGGGAGGGGGTTGGCAACCCTATTTCTCTCTGCCCACTCAGGTCTGGTTCTTCAAACCCACCACATCTGAGTCAGGCTGCTCTTCCTCCAAATTCTTAGACACAGGCAGGGGCAGTATTGACAGCACAGAAGTTACAGTCTCCCTGCTCTTAGTCCCTGGTGCTGCAATAGCCAGCAGCAGCAATTGCAAGTGAAGTCCTACTCAGCCCCTGGGGTCCTGACTGCAGCACGCGTATTCCAAACAATCTTCAGTTTCAGTATTTAGTTCTCAAACTCATAAGTCTCTACTGAGCATGTGTGAACAGAGAATTTTTAAAGGCTTATAACTTGTCCATATTTGAGCCTTCCCCTTCCCCCCTCAGAAACAGCAACAGGTCCACCCATAACACCAGGGCAATCCCCTTGCCAAATTTCAAAGCATGGAGGCACTACAGCTTCTCAACAAAATAGAAAGATTTTTATTAATGTGGGCAAAATAAGTCTTCCCTAATCTTGTTCTCAGAAACAGCTGAACCATTTTTTACTGAAATTATTTCAGCCCAATTAATTGACATTTGGCAATTTGAAAGCAGGGGTGGGGGGGATGATGTGTCAGTCACCCATAATTATAGATGGTTCTACCAGCTACACCTACAATATAACTGGACAAGAACTCAAATAACTGAATTGATACATGAGCCAACATATAATCCAACTTATTTATCCACAGCTGTACAGACTCAAAAATGCTCAGAGAAGTAAATTGTAGTCTATTTGTCAGTAATTCAGCAAATATGATTAAAGGACCAAGGCAGCAGAACTGTTAAGTATGAAGATACCACTGTAACAGTCGGTTTTCTGACCATAAGCATAACTTTAATATGTTATGTGTAACAATCTGTATACAGTTGAACTGTTGCAAACATGTGAACAGATGTACTATAAAAACATTAAGAAATGATACTTTTTTTTAACAAGACAAGCCGAGAATCAAAGTGTATACAAAGCTGTGTGCATCAACTTCATTTCTGAACATTCTGAAGTATCTCTCCCAGCGTGAGAATTTCAAATTCGAAGTATTTCTAATTTGTCTATCATTGTTATATTAAGGACTGGACTGTGGCCTGCTAAATTTTCAGGCTTTACGTGAATGAGAAATATGAAATCTTGGACAACTGCCTTGATAAGTCTCACTGTGGTCTTTTGTGGTCATGGACAGTTGGGCTCCGTGTTTCTATTTAGAACGGTTATTTGACCAGTTTTGAAAACGGAAGGTATGTCCAAGTGATGGGAACTCTATTACTCCCTATAGGAAACCTACTTGAAGACAGCTGGTAACTAACAAACACGGTACATTGCTGTCAAACGCTCCATATAGCCCATAGAGACAGTTCAACTAGTCTGTCACAGCGGCTCAGCCTAACATTAAGAAAGACACTGAAGGGCAGGAGGCTGCAAAGTGCCTGTAAGTTCACTCTGTCTCCACACCGAGATCTACCACAAGTCAGGCAGAATCCAGCCGGACTAGGGGTGCTGGGCTGGGTTGCCAGAGTACTCTGCTCAGTCTCCCCAGCGCCTGCTGACCCGAACTCCTGTCCCTACAAGAGTTTAGCGGATGGGGAGGGGCTACTGACAACTCACCTGTTGAATCACAAGGCCCCCGGCCCTCAGATACTGGCTTTGTACCTGTACCTCGCAGGAAGGTACAAGATCAGACCCTGATGAGCGGGGGGGTGGGGGGGAATGGGCGCATTTCCGGAACCAGCCTAACAAATAGATTCCTGACAGGGCCAGGCAGCCTCCCGCCTCACAGACCTGATCGCCCCAGGAGCGTCCCCGCACGGACCCGCTGTTCTCAGGCCCAACCCCGCCATTTCCCCCTGCCTGAGCAGCAGAAACGGAGACCTCCCCCCGCCAAGGGCGCGGCCGCTCCCGAGTCCAGCCTCCCGCCCGCCCGGCCCGCTCAGTCACTCACAGCGGCGCCGCTGTCCGGTGCGGGCGGCTCGCCCTCCCCGCGGGGCTGCCCCGTGTCCGCCGCTTTGAGTCTCTGGCGGCGGCAGCGGGCGGGGCCCGGACCGGGGCCCGCGCGCGGCTCTTCTCCCCCGTGACGAAGGCGGCGGCGGCGCCCCCGCTCTGTGAGGTAATTCAGTGGGTCCCCCATTGAAGCCGCCTGCCCGTGACCAGTGACCACCCGCCCGCGGCACAACGAGATGGCCGGGCCCCGGGCAAGCCAGACACCCCGCAAGGGCTGCTGGGACCGGAAACGACTCGTTCGGAATTCCACGACTTACAGCGCCGCCCCCGACGCAGCCTCCGAGCGCGCGGAACGCCGGCCACAAGACCGCGCCTGGACGCCATCTTGACTCCGGGCGGCCTCGCCCTGAGACACTTCGCTACCCGCCGATACAGCTCGCTTTGCGCAGGGTAGGCGCTTCCAGGCCCAACCAAAGATGGTGGCTCGGAGCGCGCGCCCGTCTAGCTCTGTCTCCATGGTGATCTCCCCTTGCCCTGCCCCCCGCCCGCGCCGCCGCGCGCAGCCCGCACCATGGCGCCGCTGAGCCGCCGCGCCCGGGACTGGCTTTACTCGCTGGTAGGTGCCCGAGCCGCCCCCGGCCCAGCGCACGGAGCCGCCTGGTCCGTTCTGTTAGGGGAGTGCAGCAAAGCCTCCGCTCTCGGGTCCCTGCGGTCCCTAGCCGCTGGCTGGGGCAACGGGCCGCAGCCCTGCGTGGGCAGCAGGTACCGCACGGATGGTTCTTCCCTTCCACCTGCCCTTGGGGACCCGCCTCCTACGGGACAACCCAGGGGCGCAGTTACCCTCCACCCGGTACACCTAAACTTTTAGCCGAGGGCTGGTAAATGATGACCATTTGCAAATAGTTTAAATATGAGACCAGTATTCAATAGAGGTATAGTATATTGGTAAAAAGAACAGGAGTACTCCTGTTCTTTTTTCGGATACAGACTAACATGGCTGCTACTCTGAAATTTGTATTGGTAATGCAAAATACCTACCTTTGCAAACATATTTTCTTCTAACAGATTCTTCTCACCATTGTATTACTTTCATGGGGATATGTTATTTATGCAACAAGAATAGCAGCTCGGTGGCAACTTGAGAAGGACTACCCTGATCAAATGCTGAATTTTTAAAGGAAACATTACAGATGGACGGCATCTGGATTTTCACACCTGAACACATTTAAAACCAAATTTGAGGACAGAAAAGATTATTTCCAACTAATGGTTTGAGAAGTTATGACCTGACCACATAATTTAAGTTTAACAGTGGTAGAAGGCTTCAAGAAAAAAAAAAATCAAGCTTCCTGCACAATTAAAGGATCAACAGAAATACAGGCAATGCATGTTGTGTGACACTGAGTTTTCTTAATAAATATAGAAAATGAGCACCAGACTAAGTAGCAGCCAAGGAAGAAATGTACACCAAGTGTATGTTCAGTTGGTTTGCAGAATGTCTTCTCTTTTACAGACTTAATGTCTTTGCTAAAGAGTTTGTAATGTTTAAAATATGGTACACATGTTTAAGTCCAGTGATATGGCAGTAAGTAACATTATTTAAAAGTGATTCAACATTTTCCTTCAGTTCACGTTAATAGTATTTGGCCCTCAAATAGTCTTATTCAGCAACAGCTTATCCATAGCAACTTTCCTCTTAAAATCGATTATGCTAAAGTTTTTCATTGATGGAGTAAGCAAGTGTAACTGCAGCAGCCTCAACCAAGTTGTGTTTAGAGGTCTGCAGATGTGTCTGGCATCTTGGCTATGCCTAGTAAAGTGCTAGTCACAGATGTTATAGTGACATAACTCACACTATCTTCTAGTGAGATGGTATGCTGACCTTCAGGAATAGTCAGGTCGAGGTTGGCTGAGGAATTTTGGAATACTGCTAGTCAATGAAGTGGATCAAGTATTTGAAATAGGGTTATTTCCTGAAAGGAACAAGTATTCATAGAAATGTGAGTACGAATAACTATTTGTCACCGTTTGTTTCTATTTACTCATCTTATTTTGCTGTTGATTCATACAATTAAAGCTATCATGTTTTACCAAACCCTCTCATACAGATGATTTTGAAAAAAAGAATTGTAAGATTTTGTAGTTTATAAACTTTACAATATTGCTTGAGTGTTCAGAGTTCTGGTAGGACTTCCACAATAAATGAAACAGAGGCTATGTAAACTAATATCTTATTAAAATTATTTCTCAATAATATCTGACTTAAGAGTGGGACAGTTACTTTTCCAAAATGCTTTCTAAATTTTACTGCACTTGTGCATTACCTGCTGAGCTGATTTGTTGTTTTTTTTTGCTGTATCTTCCTGTTTGGTTAAATTCAAATACATGACTAGAGATACATAATTGGTTGCTAAAATGCAGATAATCTGTTGCCTGTTAAGACAAGAAGATTTTATTACTACTAGTACATTGGACTGAAAGCCTACTACTAGAGTCCATTTCATACAGTCAATCATGAACATTTTGTTACTATGTGAATAACTTCCTTAACTTGCCTTGCACTAAAGAAAAGTCTGGAAATGGTCTCTGCTATTCCTGCTATACCTAGAAGGAAATAAGATAACATGAGAGTTTCCTGAAAGCAACTTTATTGTTTTACATATCTGGAAATATTTTAACACTTTTTATAGGAACAAAGCTAGAGTTTATAACCTTCAGTGATGACCAGTAGGCTCTTCTTCCATTGGTGGGATTATTTCTCCTGTCTCTAGAATTTTGTCACCCTAATGAAATCAAAAAGCTTATGGTGAATATTTTGTCATGGGTCATACTACTGTCTAAAATATATAATATGCAAGTGCATAAAAGTACTATTATTTTTATGAGAGACAATATGGGTGAGGCAATATCTTTTAATTGAACCAACTTCTGTTGGCGAAACAAGCTTTCAAGGGAATATTATCCATTCTGAAGAAAATACTGATGCTTCTAAAGGTCTATATCACATTGTTTTCCTTAGTCAGCATTTAACATTTTTGTACCAAGTGCCCAAAGTACTGAATACAGTTATTTTAATTTTATTCCCTGTACCATTGCTGCCCTCACACACCCACCTCTCCCTTCCCATTTGTTTTCTTTATCCATGAGGCCGACATGTTACGAGAAAATATTAATTTTAATTAACTCACTGGGAATATGCAGTACTTCTTTTCAGTAACACCAAATGGCCTTTTCTGCAATAAAAAACAGATTAGTCAGGATAAGCTTTTTGAAAGATGGCTGATTAGAAAAAGCTGTTTTCCATATTGCCAAACAGCTAAAGTGTTGAATACAATTAATATTAAGCAGCCCCAGCTTCTCTCCACTAGGTTACTCTTAGTTTAAAACCAGAAGTATACAGAATAAAAACACCTCGAACAGGACAAGTTTTCAAAATACTTTATAAATGAAAAGGCACTCCCAGGGTAAAGATCCACAGGCAATGGCCTAATAAGAGTGTTCACTGAATTGTGGCACAGTGATAATGTTATTACTTCTTCAGGAAAGCAGTGAGCTTTATTCTGTCAGTGACTAGTAAGGAAGCAGGAGTGAGCAAGACCAGGGTACAAGTCAGCTACAAACAAAACAACCTCTTAATCATCAAGGCTTATGCAGTTTGAACTAACCTTGTCTGACCAAACATATAGACCAGTGTTTCCCAAACTTGGGACGCAGCTGTGACAAACTGGGACTGTTCTTACTGTGGTCTGTGAATGCTGACAGGGGACTGTGGCTAGGATAGTCTGCATTGGGGGATGGGAAACTGACCGAAGGGGAATACCTGAGCATGTAACATGAGAACCCAGGAAGGTTAGAAGCCAGGTGACACCTTTGCCCGGGAAACTGAACAAAGGCTGGGGGAGGGGTCGCTGAAGGGGTTTTTTTGCAGGAGCTGGCTGGTGATATGGCTGGGAGGCAGATGGGGCTCTGACC